CTGAATATGTTTTCCTTTTCCGATGTACCAAAAAAAGAAACCAGTAGGACCAGGGAATTTAATTTGATTGCGAAAACTGAAGAAATTTGTCTAGTTGTGCACTCCTTTATTTGCCTTGAACCTTCCCTTCGGTTTCCTCTAGTGAATGGTAAGTAGACTTTCCAAGGACTAGCACCTTCCCTTCGGTTTATTTAAGCAGCTTTTCTGGTTGAGCTCTGAACATGAGAAAGGGATAGCTTACACAAGTGAAATAGTGGAAGGGGAAAAGAGAGCTAGAGAGTGAGAAAAAAAAAATGGAGAATGAATAGCATCAAGCCATTACTATAGAGGAATCCAATCGCAACATAGAAATGTCGGTTCGCTCTACCAATGAAATAAAGGAATCTAGTGACGATGCATGTGTCATTCTTGTTGGGTATACCTCCTTATTGGAGTGTGGGACCCAATTGATTTTGAAAAAAGAGTTTAATTTAGTTTAGTATTAATTATAATAGATTTTTATATATTATATTTAATTTGTGGAGACCCAATCCAATTTGGAAACAACTAAGGTTTAATAATAAACCTTAGATTCACAATATTTTAGGGTTTGGTCTTTTTGCTCATCCCAAGGTGAAGAGAACGGCTGCTACACATACTCCACTTTGGTGAAATCAATTATTTGGGTGTGTGAACAGTGGAATTAATTTGGGTGGTTCTTCGCTTCATTTTCGGTGTTGATTTGGTTCGTTATTTTGGATCTTCTACAATTTTGGTTATGAAGATTTTGGTTCATCTATTTGGTGAGGTCTTTCCTCTTGTTTATTTGTAATTATTTGGAATTCACCTAAGGGTGGTTTTGTGAGACCATTAGTGTCTCGTTTGTAATCGTTTGGAACTTATTTGGTTGATAGTGGAATCGGATTTCGATCCCGTGAACGTACCTCACATTGAGGGAACCACGTAAAAATTCTTGTATTGCTTCTGATTTAATTTTTCCGCATTAGTTTTTATTCCCATTGATTGATTTACTTGTGGGGAATCACATATTTTCCCTAACAACTGGTATCAGAGCTTGCAGTTTATTTGGGTATATTTATTTGTGTAAATCAATGGAGGGAACTGTGGGTCGTATGTCTAGCTTCAATGAAAGCAATTGGGTAACTTGAAAAACTAAAAAGAAGCAAGAAGACACAACGGCAGTTACTACCGATGATCTCATGGTCGTTTGTGAAGATGATTGTATCAATTTTGTGGGCCAAGAGAGCAATTGGGTGATTGATTCCGGTGCTTCTTTTCATGTGACTTCTCGAGTTGATTTCTTCACTACCTACACCAAAGGAGATTATGGTTCTGTTCGAATGGGTAATGAAGGTTTGTCCAAGATTATTGGCATGGGTGATGTTTGCTTGGAAACAAATTTGGGCTGCAAGTTGTTGCTTAAAGATGTGAGGCATGTTCCCGACATTCGACTCAATTTGATCTCTACTAGGAACCTTGATGATGAAGGCTTCAACAACAAATTTGGTGATGGAATATGGAAGCTCACAAAGGGTTCTTTGGTGGTGGCTAAGTGCAAGAAGACTCATACACTTTATTCGATGCACGGAAAAATTTGTAAAGGTGTTGTCAATGCACTTGAAGATGATACTTCTACCGAATTGTGGCACAAGCGGCTTGGCCACATGAGTGAAAAGGGGCGCAAGTATTGTTCAAGAAAGAGCTTCTCCCCGGTTTGAAAGGTACACATCTCAAAACTTGTGTTCATTGTTTGGCTTCTAGAAAAGAAAATGTTTTGGAGTTGATTCATTCGGATGTTTGTGGTCCTTTAAAAGTTAGAACACATGGTGGTGCACTTTATTTTGTTACTTTCATTGATGATTATTCAAGGAAAGTTTGGGCTTTTTTACTAAAAACTAAAGATCAAGTTCTAGAAGTATTTAAGCATTTTCAGGCCATGGTTGAAAAAGAAACAGGGCAGAAATTGAAGTGCATCCGATCAGACAATGGTGGCGAATACATTGGGCCATTTGATGAGTATTGTCGCAGCCAAGGTGTTCGGCATCAAAAGACAGTTAAGAAGACTCCTCAACAAAATGAAGTTGCCGAGAGGATGAACCGCACCATTGTGGAAAGAACAAGGTGTTTGCTTTCACAAGCTAAATTGCCAAGATCCTGTTGGGGTGAGGCATTGAAGACAGTGGTTGACGTGATCAATTTGTCTCCTTCCTATCCATTGAATGGTGATGTTCCAGAAAGAGTTTGGACCGGCAAAGATGTGTCTTATGAGCACTTGAAAGTGTTTGGTTGCCGAGCTTTTGTTCACATTCCAAAAGATGAGAGGTCCAAGCTTGATAGAAAGTCAAGACAATGTATTTTTCTTGGCTATGGGCGTGATGAATTTGGGTACAGATTGTGGGATCCGGTCGACAAGAAAGTCATTCGAAGCCGTGATGTTGTATTTGTTGAAGACCAAACAATTGAAGACTTTGGCAAAGGTGATCAACCGGAGCCAAAAACTAGTGATCTCATTGACATGGATCCATCTCCTTCATCTTCAGTTGATGATGAAAATGGGGGAGATGTGCAGCCACCTATTGAAGAAGTAGAGGATGATGCTAATCCTAATAAAGTTGAGCCAGAAATTGAGGAAGAGCATCCAACTCAAGAACTGCCACCACAACTTGAGTTAAGAAAATCTACAAGGGACCGACAACTTTCAAGAAAGTATCCTCCCAATGAATTTGTGTTGATTTCTGATCAAAGGGAAGCGGAGAGCTACCAAGAAGCAATTGAGCATGCAAAGAAAGGTGATTGGAAAAAGGCCATGGAAGAGGAGATGAATTCCTCACTTGAAAACCAGACTTATGATTTAGTGAAGTTGCCTAAAAGGAGGAAAATTATGAAAAATAAGTGGGTTTTCAAATTGAAGAATGATGGCAAGAATCTGAGGTACAAGGCACGTCTTGTTGTGAAAGGCTTTGGGCAAAAGAAAGGTATTGACTTTGATGAAATCTTCTCACCAGTTGTAAAGATGTCTTCTATTCGGGTTGTACTTGGCATGGCTGCAAGTATGAACCTTGAAGTTGAGCAACTTGATGTGAAAACCGCATTTCTGCATGGTGACCTTGAAGAAGAAATTTACATGGAGCAACCGGAAGGCTTTGTGGAAAAAGGGAAAGATAAATTTGTTTGCAAATTGAAGAAAAGTTTGTATGGCCTCAAGCAAGCCCCGCGACAATGGTACAAAAAATTTGACTCTTTCATGATGAATAATGGTTTTACTAAAACCACTTCGGACCATTGTGTGTTTGTGAAAAATTTTCTGGATGGCAAATTTATTATTCTTTTGCTTTATGTTGATGACATGTTAATTGTGGGTTAAGATTCTACCATGATTAACAAGTTAAAATTGGAGTTGAGCAAATCTTTTTCTATGAAAGATTTGGGACCGACAAAGCAAATACTTGGTATGAAAATTGTTCGTGATCGCAAAGAGGGGCTGATTTGGTTGTCTCAAGAAAGCTACATTGAGAAAGTTCTTGAGAGGTTTTTATTTTTAAATTAATCAAAACTATTTTACTTTTTAAAAAGCCTTTACTTTTTCTATCTAATTTCACTTTTAATTCATCCAACGATTAGCATTTATCTTATCCAATAATTCACCCAAACTATCCATTTTCATGTATGGTGTGTTCTGATGTGATGTGATCAGTGGGTGAAAAAGCCATGGTAAGAATAGAAGCGCATAGTTTGGGTGTTTTTGTTTTGGTTTGTGTGGAAAAGAAGAGTGCAGTAGCAGCATCGGTGTATGTGCTTTATTGTGATAGTCAAAGTGCTATTCACTTGAGTAAAAATTCTACTTTTCATTTGAGATCGAAACACATTGATGTGAGATACCATTGGATTCGTGATGTGTTAGATTCGAAATTGTTGCAACTCGAAAAGGTTCACACGGATGATAATATTTCGGATATGTTGACAAAGACTTTGTCGAGGGACAAACATTTGAAGTGTCGAACTTTGGCGGGGATGGTTGATCTCTCCACCTAAGTCGGTAGGGGGAGAATTGTTGGGTATACCTCCTTATTGGAGTGTGGGACCCAATTAGTTTTGGAAAAAGAGTTTAATTTGGTTTAGTATTAATTATAATATATTTTTATTTATTATATTTAATTTGTGGAGACCCAATCCAATTTGGAAACAACTAAGGTTTGATAATAAACCTTAGATTCACAACATTTTGGGGTTTGGTTTTTTTGCTTATCCCAAGGTGAAGAGAACGGCTGCTACACATACTCCACTTTGGTGAAATCAATTATTTGGGTGTGTGAACAGTGGAATTAATTTGGGTGGTTCTTCACTTCGTTTTCGATGTTGATTTGGTTCGTTATTTTGGATCTTCTACAATTTTGGTTCTGAAGATTTTGGTTCATCTATTTGGTGAGGTCTTTCCTCTTTGTTTATTTGTGATTATTTGGAATTCACCTAAGGGTGGTTTTGTGAGACCATTAGTGTCTCGTTTGTAATCGTTTGGAACTTATTTGGTTGATAGTGGAATCGGATTTCGATCCCGTGGACGTACCTCACATTGAGGGAACCACGTAAAAATTCTTGTGTTGCTTCTGATTTAATTTTTCCGCATTAGTTTTTATTCCCATTGATTGATTTACTTGTGGGGAATCACATATTTTCCCTAACAATTCTCATATAGAGGCGCTTGGAAGAAAATAGAAGAGAAGGAGCTCAAAGCATAACGGAAAGGGTCTCCACTTCTATATGCAGAGTCCCTCAAAACCTTGCAAGAATCATTAGAAGGGCCACTGAGCCAGAAAATGTGTCGATAGGCCCTTATCACGGTGACAAAGATGAGGTACTTGAATTACAAAGTTACAAATGGCAGTTTCTTCATTCGCTACTTTCTCGAATGAAACAACCGAAGAATTCTTTACGGCTCATGACGCTAGCCATGAAAGAATTAGAAGGTCAAGGCAAGGGCACAATACTCAGAGCTGATTCAGATGTCAAGTGACGATTTCATTGGGATGATGCTACTTGATGGTTTCTTTATCATTGAGCTCTTCCAACAAGTTTGCCGGAGTGAAGATTCTGCGAATGTCAATAGCCTAATGCTCATGAAGCCATGGTTAATGCCGATTCTCATTAGAGACCTCTTAAAGCTTGAAAACCAAATTCCCCTCTTCGTTCTTTTGAAGTTATTCAGTCTCTCCAATTGCAATACAAGTGAACACTTTGTTTGGCAAGCCCTACAGTTTTTTAATCTTGCCCTACCGAGGTCCCTTGAATCATTCAAGGGACAATGATGACTTTACCTTTATGAAGAATGCAGTCATCTACTTGACTTGTTTTATACTAGCTACTGCGTCCCAAAAATACAGCAAGCCGGGTTTAGGGAAACCTGGTTAAGTTACCACGGCTCAAGCTACCCGTCAACAAGAAGATTGCTCCCCTGCTTAAGATACCTCAGCAAGTTAACCAACCTCTGCAAAAGAAGATCACCTGGATTACCAAGGCATCGTCCATTATCAGATCAGTCAATACCATGTGTGACACGACTCCAACATGCTGGGGTCAAGTTTAGGCCACAAAAAGACGATAATTTCTTGGACATAAATTTCCACAAAAGGGTGCTAGAAATCCCACCCATGACCATCAATGATTTCACCAGCACTGTCCTAATTAACTGTGTTGCCTATGAACAATGCTACCCACGGCCCTACTCGAAACGCTTTTCTGAATATATTGCCTTCATGAGTTATCTCATCAACTCAAGTAGAGACGTTACATTCCTTTGTGAGGACGGAATTATCTCAAATTTCTCCTACAATGATAATCATGTTGCTAATCTTTTCAAGATGTTTGGAGAGCATGTTGTGTTCAACATTAGAGAGTGTTACCTAAAAGACGAATTCAGACAAGTGGAGGCCTACTATAATAGCAACTGGGCAACTTTGAGGCGCACATATTTTAGCAGACCGTGGTCAACCATCTCAGTCATCTCAGCCTCTGCTCTGCTGGCGCTAACAGCGATATAGACAATCACAGCCATTTTGAGCTACAAGGTCCACCATAGCTAATGCTTCTGGACTGTTATGCTGATCAGAATTAACTGTATAAAAGGTGAATGTTTATCCCATTCATATATCTTTATGCATATTATTAAGTTTGAGTTGTCCCAAGAAATCTCCTATGACGCTTTTCTCTTCTTTTTCTAATCCTTCTATGTTAACTTGTCTGCCTATTTTGTTTGGTGTCTCATCTTTTCCTTTAAAATGGAATAAATTATATAGCATAGATGTGGGTACATATACACACATCCATGATGGCTTACACACTTGCTAGTATAATAGTGATACCATGTGGCAATATCATCTATAATAAGGTTGAAATCTTTCATTCATGATTGGATGAGTTGTATTCAAGAGATGTCTATCCAATTTCATTTTAGATTTTTTATTGGGGTGTCACTATTGCACTCAATTTTTGTTCTTGACTCGCACGTACTTTCTATTACATGTGAATTTTTCATTAATTCTATTAATGTATCATATTAATGTATAAAAAGTATTTTTATTTGGTCCCTCAACCTAACTCGTGCTTAAATTGTGTTAACTCCAATTTGAATTATTTAGGAATAAAATGCTATTAAAAATATATATTATATTTTTAGCCTCTACAATATGTAATTTATAATATTTAAATTGTGTGAATTTATTTTCTAATGTGTAAAAAGTGTTTCAATTAAATCTCATAATCTAATTCACTCTCTCTCCTAAACCATGAGTAAATCATGAAAACTATAAATACACATCATAATAAATATAAAAAGAAAAATGACATCTTTGAAAAATATTAATCTTGCCATCTGAAAAATCTATAAATCTCCTAGATGTTGATTTGTGATTATGTATCAATTTTAAGCAGAATATAACAATCCCAATCAAACAATCAAGACAAAGAGACACAACGATTTTACGTGGAAAAAACCACAATTGGACACCTCCAACTGTGATAAAAAAAACCACGGGCAACAGCCACAAAACAATCCACTAAGAAGATTTAAAGGAATTACACAGGTATACTCTCAATTACCTAGCGAATCCACGCCTAATTGAACCAACCTCTATGTGCCTCTTCCAACCCGTCTTCACCTCGGAATTGTCTTTACGATGAGCCACCCCGGAATCCACCAAAGCTTCAGGCTCGAATTCTTCAGAATCCACCGAAGAACAACTCTCTCTTTTGTATAGCAAACAAAGCCTTTGATGTACTCTCTTTAAACCATGAGTTGAATACTCAATAAAACATCAAAGAAAAACTAAAAATATCCCCAGATATAAACCTTAAGAGCCAAAAAGAAGATCTGGAGGATTTCAGGAGTAGTCTAGTTTTTGGGAGAAAACCAACTACTTATAGAAAACCAAAAAGTAATCCTAGAATTCCTTTGATGTACTCTCTTTAAACCATGAGTTGAATACTCAATAAAACATCAAAGAAAAACTAAAAATATCCCCAGATATAAACCTTAAGAACCAAAAAGAAGATCTGGAGGATTTTAGGAGTAGTCTAGTTTTTGGGAGAAAACCAACTACTTATAGAAAACCAAAAAGTAATCCTAGAATTGGATGAAAACCCAATCCTTATTGAAATCCGGAAAACTGTGTTCGCGCGGTCCGCTCGAGCGCCCAACATCCCGCTCGAGTGTCTTCAGTAAAATCTGCGTGTGATATAACAGAGGTCCGCTCGAGCTCCAGAGAGCCCGCTCGAGCGCGAAATCACACAGCTCAGTACTTTTACAGGCGACAAAAACTTCTGGAACCAGGGATTCTCCGCTCGAGCGGGGGAATGTCCGCTCGAGCGGACAGGCAACTTGGAATGCATTTTTGCATTTTGCTTCGGATAGGCAGCTCGATCCTCGTCATAATCAGCGAAGTGGTAATCTTGAAAGCATTAGCATCACAAACTTCTCTGAAAGGCACAATTCGAGTTGGATTTGCATCTAAACACTCATAGCCTCACTGAAATAAAAGTGCGAAAATAAATACAACTGAAAGGAGTTTTGTAAAACGGGATTACCAAAAATAAAACCTAACACCATCCAACATGTATATAAGTGTTAATTATGCATCAAAATATACTAATTGAATGTGGACATTTAAATTCAAGCAACACTTAAAAGGGTTTTATTGTAAAGTGACTAAAATCCAAAAAATCACACACATAGGAAAAAGGAAAGTAAAAAAGCCAAAAATTTAACCCCAATAACAAAGGATTACGTCATACAAGACAATTAATTTTTTTTCCTCATAATTATCCATTCAACTAAAAACACTTCCAAATACATTAACTTCTTTACCTCATAAAAAACTAAAAAAACTAAATTCCAATCAGAGCCTTGTTGTACCATCTTAGAGGGAAATGATTATCTCTTTAAAGAGTGGCCTACATGGAGCATATGGCCGGGTCATTTTCTTTAAGCATAAAATGTCGAACTTGGTTCAATAAGTTGTATGTACAGCCAACAAGTTTTTCCATCCAGATTCACTATATGCATATGTTTACTTTTCTAATGATTTCCTCAAATTATATGATCATTGCACTTCTAGCTAGTTAGTTAGTATTTTTTATTTTCTTTTCTTAAAACAGGCTACTAACTCACACAATATAGAAAGTTAATAAAACCTACTTAACAGCCAATTACCAATATATTAAGTCCAAACACAAGCCTAACAACCACTTCACTACTATTACACACAACCTCTATAATGAGAGAGAAATAACACCATCTCAAATCCTCTCTACAGGAGTTAAATTTGAAATTACACACCACAAAGAGTATTACACAACCACTATGCTAGATGTATTAAAAAAAAATCATAACCACTGGGGTTTGGGATAAGCAGTATTGGTTCTCATTTACATTCTTTGATATAGCATTGGAGTCAAGAAGATCAGATTAGATTTATGATCCACCAATAAAAAGCCTGTTGAACGTTGAACCCAAGTTAGGGGATTCTATTTACACCCAAAAAATTATTAAATACTTTCAATTTCTGAGTACTCCTTATTCAATTATTTAAAATTTTATATAACTCTCACTACACCCTATTATTTTTCCCAAATTACTCTAAAGGTAAACCCAAATAATAAATAATAAACAAATTAAAAAAACTAAAGGCAAACGCTATAATCAGAGACACCATCGACAAACCTCTCGTCCTTCACTTCGGTAGATCTTTTGATCCCCTTTGTCTCTAGCTCGACGACATCGTACGTCTAGGGTTTTCCTTTCTCTCTTCTCTGTTGTTTAAATTGCTTTCTGAGATAAATAATGACTTATATGTTGATGGAAGACCTAATTTGAATTGCAAACGCACCCAATAAAAAAAATTTTAAAAAAGAGGATCAATTTTGTTTATATCGCAAAATTATCATCTAATCATGAAGCAATACAGTTTGCTTCCATAAATCAAAACTTTAAAAAAAAAAAAAAATTGCTTTGAACATTGCTAAAATGACTAAGCACTTGTTTGCATAACATATTGCCTTGCCTCTGCTTTTTTGTATCTCTTTCTTCTCTTATTGTTTTGCTATTCCAATTTGTTGATTATTATGTGTTTGATAAAATACTTGAATGGGAAATGCTCCGCTGCCTTGCTTGGCTTACCTCTTTTATTAAATTTTTTTTCTATATTTTTTTACAAATATTATACTTTTTAAGTGTATGTGCATATAATGGTGAGTTTTAATAGGGTGGATTGAAGTTTTGGAGGAAAGAAAAAGAAGAAGAAATAACTTTAATCTTTTGGGAAAGAAAACATAGAGATTTGAATAAAAATAATTTATTAGGATGTACCATGAGCAAAAAAAATTTATTTTAGGGTTAAATATTTGTTGTCCTCATTAATAAATCCACATTAGGATAAAAATTAAAATTTATGAATTTAAATTGGACGTACTGAAATATATTTTGGGTTCAAATCTCCTCCAAGTTAGACATAGCTGGCCCAAATTTTAAACTAGAGCCTCCGTTTGGAAAGTGGGTGGACTTTTTGGCTTTTTTGGCTATTTTAGCCTAAGGCTAAAAAGCCTAGTTTGGGAAGGAGTTTTGGCTTTTTTAGCTTTTCTGACTTTTTTATGAGAGAAAAAATGTAATGGTTATAGATTGAATGTGATGTTTTATCTTATTGGACTCAAAAGACTATTTTCTTTTTGTGGCAATTATTATCAAACACCACTTTTACTTTGCCTTGAAACCTTTCCCCTCAGTTTCCTAGTGAATAGCTGGTGGGTAAGTCCACTTCAAGGACCTTGCACCCAAAAAAATATTTATAAATTTGACATCAGTTGTTGAAACCTAATCTCAAGTAATATCTGGGATGCTTCTAAAAATATAAAAATTAAAAATTAATTTTTGGGAAATTTCCAGAACATGAACAGATTTTTGTTGTGTTCTTTCTTTGCCTTGAAACCTTCACTTCAGTTTCATAGTAAAAGCTGGTGAGGTGACGATAACCCCAAGAAAACACCTTTTATTTAACAAGCTTTCTATCTGAGCAATGAACATGAGAAAGGTCTCACTCCACCTTCAGCATGCATATGTGAAATAGTGGAAAGAGAGCAAAAACAAAAACTAAACAAACAAATGGAGAATGGAGAGCACCAAGCCATTACAATAGTGGAATCAGATAACAACCAAGAATTGCCAGTTCGCTCTACCAATGAAACAGAAGAATCCACTAACGTTGCATCTATCATTCACATGCAGAGGCGCTTCAACGAAATTAGAAGAGAAGGAATCCAAAACTTAAAAGAAAGACAAAATGCTTTCATATGCAAAGTCCCTCAAAGCCTCGTAGAAATCGGCAATCCTAGGGACATTGAGCCAGAAATTATGTCAATAGGCCCTTATCACCACAGCAAAGATAGGGTCTTAGAATTTGAAAGTTACAAATGGCAGTTTCTTCATTCCTTGCTTTCCCGAACAAATCAACCGCATGTTGTGCACCAAAGGCAGGCCATGAAAAAATTAGAG